CACAGCTGAGGTGAGGACGCCTGACCTGGGTTCAAATCCTGATCCAGCACTTCGAGTGAGGCCTGGTGCCACGGGCTCACCTCTGCGTCTCCTCTACAGCGGAAACAGTGGGCTAGCGCAGGGCCTGGCTCGGGAAGTTCTCCGGGAGTGGTTACTGTTGCCATTGCCATTCTCATTGGCTTTGCCCCAAACAACTCTAGCACCTCCTTGGAGGTTTGGGAAGCGTGATGGGAAAGGGGAAGAGCAAGAGACGCAGATACAAACACAGTGAGGAGGCCCCAGCCAGGTGCACCATTGCTTGGAGTGCCGTCTTGCACACTGAAAGGTTGTGGGTTCAACTCTGGCCTGGTGTTTAAGGGAGGCAACGGTTCAATGTCCCCCCCCCTCCCCAAATCAATAAACATGTTCTTGGGTGTGGGTTAACAACAAAACAAAAATAAAAATAAAAACCAGTGAGGAGGATTCCAACACTACCAATATGTAGGGGCTACCACGGTTTGCCAGGCACTTTACATACATGTTATCTAATCGTCACAAAAACCTGTGTGGCAGGCACCCTTTCTCTCCATTTTCTATATGGTGAGATGAGCCACAGAGAAGGCCACCTGCCCAGGGCCACACAGCCCATACCCAGCTCAGCCGGGGCCCAGGAGGGAGCGTGGTTGGGGTGGCGCAGGGCGGGAGGCTGCCCTCCGCAGCCCTGGGGAGTCTCAGAGGAGGGGCCGAGCCTGGTGCTGCCGCCCCTCTTCAGCCAATCCTCAGGCACTGGCCCTTGAAGTACAGGGGTTTGAACGTTTTGGCATCTACTTTCTTTCCTGATGATAAATATTATGCTCATGAATATTGAACTCTAAGTTGCATGAGAACCGGGGCTGGCTGGGGGTGGCGGGTCGACACGTGTCTGGCGCTTTGCTGCCCTTGAGTGACCAAGCCCACACCCAGGTGGTGCTGGGGCTCAGCTAGGAGGCGGCTCTGTGCGTGGTGGACGCCTGCCCTGTAAGGCCAAGGGTTTGGGGCCCTCGTCCAGTCAGCCTCCTTTTGGCCCTCCTGTACCTGAGGAGAGTAATTAGATTTCCCTGAGCTTCCTGCTCCGTCCCCTGCAGGCTGAACAGTGCCCTGGCATCTGGGAGGAGAGGTCTCCTCCTCGCAAAGCAGTGGCAGAGGGCGCCTGGGAGAGGGAGGCTGGAGAGGCCAGGACCTCGAGGGGGCCGTGGCAGCGGCAGGGAAACAGTCCCAGCTCCCGCTCACCCAGCTTCACCCTGTCTGGAGCCCAGGCAGGGAGGCCTTGTGGGCACCACGCACCAGACCCAGAGCCCAAGTCACTTACCCGAGGTCGGGCATCGGAAAGTGGCAGCTGGAGCTGGACCTGGTCAGCATAACCCCTGAAGTCTTGCCGCGTCTGCAGTGCTCCCCTCCCATGGCAGAGCCCTGCCAGGAGCATCGGCACTAGGCCTGGGGTGCCTGCTCCCTCTACCGTACAGCCCCTTCGGAGTCAGAGGTGGGCCTGGGGTTCAGGCCGCCCCTCCTCCCCAGGGGGCTGCTCACCCGCCTCCACCCGCTCCTCTGGACTCCCCTGCCGTCAGACAGGGAAGGGGCTGTGGAGAGCATCTTCTGTCTTGTTTGAGGAGAGGAGAACCACAGCCCAGAAGGGCCGGCGACGTGCCCAGGGCCACAGAGCACGCTGGGAGCAGGACCGTCTGGAATGAGGCGTCCTGACTCCCGGCACACAGGGGCTCAGGGGCGGGGCCTCACACTCTGTTCCATTCTTCAAGGATGACACCTTGTCACATAAACACAGAAGGGGCCAGCACAGCCATAACCAGCGCTGTCCGTTCAGCTGTTTAAATACTGCAAGGAGCGCTGACCCTGAGCAGTGTGCCGGTGGAGATGGTGACGGCTCCCAACTGCCCCGACCCTTCTGCACAGAAGCCTCGGTGTGAAAACCAGGCACTTCTCTCGTCCCCAGTTGTCCCCAGAGAAGACAAGGCCACCACCTCCTGCAATCCCAGGAGCTCCCTTCTATGCCTGAGGAAGCTGCTGCCGGCCTCAGTTCCCCCATCTGTGACATCTGGCTCCATACCCTGCCTGTTGGACTCGTCAGGAGTCCCGTCCTGGAGAGGCGGGACTCTGAGTGCAAAGAGGGCCTCCAGGAAGGGTCCGAGCCCTGTGTCCCTGGGCACTGCAGCAGGCCAGCCTCCGCCAGGGCCTCTGCAGTCCTCCCAGTAAGCTCTCTGCGCCAGGGAGCCACCGACCTCAAAGGGGCCCTGACATGTTGTGAACAATGTCGCCTGTTTACCTGACAGATTGTCTGCTTTCTTTTCATCTTAGAGGAAAAGAGCTCCCGCTGGGAGCCGCTAATCCCAGAGTAAACAGATGACCTCGTGGTGCCTTTCTCCTGGAGGTGGGGTGCCGGCAAGCACCCCAACTGTGCAAACAGACCCTGGAGGCCTCCTGCCCACAGGGGGCGTGGCCCTGAGCCGGTCAGGGGGGCCTCCCCTGTCCCAGCCCTCCGTCTCCCTTTGTGTTTCCGCACTGAATGGGGAGCTCAAAGGCAAGGGCAGGAGAGGTCAACGCCAATTTGCAGGGCCAGGCCTGGGGGCGGAGAGAAGGGGCGAGAGCAAGTGCTGGGCGGCCTGACCTTCACCTGAATCCGAGGGCAGGGCCTCTCAGCCTCCTGAGGACACTGCCCCGCAGAGCAGGCTTTGTGTGCGGCTGCTCCCCGACTGGCTGTGTGACAGAGGCCAGCAACTGTGCCTCTCTGAGCCTCAGTTTACTCGTCTGGAGAGCAGGGATGAAGACACCTCTCTGTTAGGGCTGTTGCGAAACATCGCAGTGTGTTCTCAACCAGCACTGGTGACATGCAGGGGGAGGGAGGGAGGCTAAGTCTGGAACTTGCTGCCAACAGAGCGGGGAGGGTCCTCCGGGCCCGGGAGGGGGCAGGCAGAGCCCGGACAAAGACGCTCAGTTGGGAATGAATAGGGCCTGTATGGGAGCGAATAAACTAGCCTCTGAAACAACATATTACATTACAGGGCTGTTATCTCTGGGAGGGAACCCGGATTCCCCGTCCCCGAGTGTGACCTTGGAGAGCTGGTTGGCCTCTCTGGCCTTCAGTTTCCTCCTTTACAAAGGGGGATGAGCAGTCCTGCATCAGAGGCTCTCGGGAGATGAAGGAACCTGACACAGAGGAGATAATAAACATCCGTTTCTGGAGCTCAGAAGGGCAGGTTTGTCATTCCCCGAAAGGAGCGGGAGGGGGTTGGGAGGAGGTGAAGTCGCGCCCCGCCATGCCTCACTTGGTCACCGACCCCTGGCAGCCCTTCCTTTTGGCTGCAGGGAGCAGGATGGGCCCTCACCCATGGTGAGCCCCGCATGGTCCCAAGGTCCTGACCAGGTGTGCCTTCCTGAGCACCCTCCTTGGGCACCTTGGGCACCTTGGGCCTGCTCCTTAGCCCTCCTGGGCTTGTTCCTCTTCTCTGGGCATTCAGAGCATCTGTGACTGCCAGACCCTCAATGGAGAGTGCAGGAGAGACAAGTTTAACTCATGGAGGCCAGTGGCACTGGGTCCGTGTCCCAAACACGCAGTGTTTGCAACTCCCTTGGCTCTCCCTGTTGAAGGGCGAGGAGAAACCCGCAGAGGGAAGACAAGGAGGGGTGACACATTTGATGAGCATCTGAAAGCAAGCTCATAAGTATCAGAAACACAGTTGGCTTCACTCATCCACTCAGTGCCCCGTAGCTTAAACAGATGAAGGTTTATATGTCTAACATCATCATCCCGGGACACGGTGGTTGCTGGTCTGGGTCAGCCGCTGGTGATGCCAGTAAGGACTGGGCTCTTTCCAGCTTTCTGCTCATCGCCCGAGGCCATGGCCTACTTGTCACCTCATGGTGGCAAGCTGGCTGCTTCAGCTCTATCAGGACAGGAGAGGGTCTCCCAGGATCCCCTGTTGGTGTCTCATTGGCCAGATATGGGTCACGTGGCCACTCATGGCAGCAAGGGATGCTGGGAATGCAAGTACCTGAATGTACTTCAGCCTCCAGCAAGGGGCAGACAGGGTGGGTGTGGATGGTGGGGCGAGAGGACCGGTATCAAGTCAGCCCCTAGCTGCCTGCCAGAGGAGAGGAGATGGTGCCGCGCACACCCTAGTCTTACAGACGGGAGGCTGGTGCCAAGGGCAGAGAAGTGCTTACTCAATAAGCAGTTTGACTGATTTACTCTGACATTCTGGGCCAGCGACCAGAGATGCAGAGATAAAAGCCACCCCCTTGCCTTCCAGAGAGAGAAGGAGAATAATAATAGTAATAATAACAATATAATAGCTAAAATTCACTGAGCGTGTACCAAATGCCAAGTGCTTGCTGGGCACTTTCCAGACTTGATCTCATCTCGTGCCCACTCCAGCCCCAAACGACAGGCACAGTTCTGTCTGCTACGGAAGAAGCCGGCGCTCGGCGAGGCCACTGCACACAGGCTGGCCCGTCGCGCTGCGGGAGGCCGTCCTGTGAGAGGCCCGCATGGATCAGGCAGGTCACGAAGATCGAGTGCTCTCCCTGGGGAGGGCACAGGAGGTGTCTGGAGGTGGGAAGATGTGTGTAGGGTGTAGAAGCACCAGTGGGGAAATCCCAGCCAGACAAGGTGAAGACAGGGCCCTGGGTGAGGAAAGACTCCTGCAAGGATGTTAGAAGTGATTTCAGCCCGGGATCTGTCTATCCACGCTTTCCTCGGAATTTTTGTATTCAAAAGGAGCACTGAAAATATTATTATACTTCTAAAATAAATGAGCAACATGAATAACCAAAGAAAAGCAAACATATTGAAAATAAAATTTCTTAGTTTATAAAATAGTCAGAGATTACAAAATAAAACAGATGAATACTTGCTGCTGGTGATGGTGTGGTGAAATGCACAATGTTCACGCACTGCTGGTGAAAGAGGAAATTGGTGGAAACCTTTAGAAAAGCAACTGGAAAAAATTATTTACAATGTGCTAGTCCGAGCTTGTTTCAGCAGCACGAAGTATACCAAGGAAGGATACAGAGAAGGTTAGCATGGCCCCTGGGCCAGGATGACACACACATTCCTGGAGTGGTCCATATTTTTCAATATTTCAATGGAATATTACTCAGCCATAAAAAGAATAAAATCTTACCTTTTGTGACAGCCTGGATGGTCCTAAAGAGTATTATCCTAAGTGAAATAAGTTAGTCAGAAAAAGACAAGTACCATATGATTTTATTTATATGTGGAATCTAAAGAACAATATAAATGAACAAACACAATTGAAACAGACTGATAGATACAGAGAACAGACTGATGTTTGCCAAGGGGAGGGGAGTTGGGGGTTGGATGAAAAGGTGAAGGAATGAAGAAGTACAAATAGGTAAAATAGTCACAGGGATGTAAAGTGCAGCATAGGGAACACAGTCTGTAATATGGTAATCTCTGTACGGGCCAGTGGGTACTGGAAATACTGGGGAGCCACTCTGTAAAGTATATGCTTGTCTAACCACTGTGCTGTACACCTCCAATTAATACAGAATAATATTGAATGTAAACTATAATTGAAAAACAAACAAATAAAATAAAAGTAAATAAAATGTGCTTGTGCTTTAGCTTCACTTCTAGAAATATACCCTAAAGAAATGAGAAGAAAAGGAACTGTGCAGGACAGACAATGTGCTGAAATAGGACTTGTGTTTTCCTCCTCCTTGCATTTTCCCTCCCAAAGCCCCAGATTTGTAGGCAGACCCCTGCCTACTCCCTGGCCCCAGGAATATGTGTAGAACCCAACCAGAATCTACTTAAAGACACCTGTCCTTTGTGGAAAAGGAGTATCAAGAAAGAAAATATGCAGCAGTCCCCCAAAAAGGGGTGGGGTGGGGGCGAGAGTTGTGAGAAGGAAGGGGGAAGTTTCCCCACATAGTGGAAGGGCTCCCCAGCCCCAGTGGTGGGATTTGGACCCTTTCCATAGCAGCACCCCAAGACATGGCATGGTTTCCCAAATGTCACTCTGTCCAGGAAAACTAGAGTCAAAGCACAGCCACACCCCAGTGTCCTGAGCCCCCAACCTGGCAACTCAGCAGCCACTGGATAACAAGGAGCATGCCCACTGAAAGGATGGCTATCTCTGGGCAGCCTTCCATGGTGCCTGGCAGACTGTGCAAACCCCAGGACCTTTGCATGGCCCTAAGAGGCAGGGAATTCTGAAAATGACTGAGGTTGATTTTTCTGGCCAGGCCTTAAGTAGAATATAATCAAAACTTTAAATGTGACATTCCCATATAGCTACAATGTATGCAAAAGAAATTTTTTTAAAGCAATTGAGTATAGAGTTATTTTCTTTTGATTTTTTTTTTTTAATCCTCACTCCAAGATATTTTTCCAATGATTTTTAGATAGAGTGGGGAGTGGAGGGGAGAGAGAGAGAAATATCAATTTGAGAGAGACACATCAATTGGTTGCTTTCCACACGACCTCACCAGGGCTGGGGATTGAACTGCAACTGAGGCATGTGCCCTTGACTGGAATAGAACCCGTGACTCTTTGGTCCGTGGGCCGATGCTCTAACCACTGAGAAAACTAGCCAGGGCTTCTTTTGATTTTTTAAACTAGGAGTTATATATTTCCATAGAGAGAGACCAAAGTCCCCTACCCTGTGCACATACCTGTGCCATTGTACCAACCCTGCTGGGATGATCATCCTCCATATTCAGTGTCTCACTGTCCTTTGAGGTTCTCGATCCTGGAGACTCATCAGGACCATTTCTTGTTTACCTCCATTTCCCCAGGGCCTTGCACAAGGCCTGGCGAACACTCAGGGAATGAATGAGAGAATAAACAAGTACATGAATGAATGAATGAGTGAGTGAGCAAATCAATGAACTAATAGGTGTCTGATGTCTAAGATGAAGGGTCTAATGAAACCCGCCCCGTCCCCCCCAAGCGGCGCTGCTGGCAGCCCCAAGGGCTGTGCACACCGTGGAGCTAACTGGCAGCATGTCCTCTGGAGCGCGGCAGCCTCCTCCAGGCCAGGGCTGGCTGGCAGGCTTGCGGGCAGCTTGCACAATCCTGTGGGCTGCTGTGATTCTCATTTTTGGGGCATGGAGTCATCTCTGCCGTGGGCCTCTCCCTCCTTGCCCTGGATTGTCTCTTGGCAATGTAAAAGGAACTGTGTCTGTTGTCAGTGGGAAGCACTTCAGACCCCAGCCCCTCTAGGAAGCCTGTCCCGGTGAACTAGAGCTGCCCGAGGACACACAAAGGTTGGGGCTGCAAGGGAGCTCGGAGATCCTCCTGCCTAACCCCTTCATTTCAACCTCTTCCTGAGTCCCATTCCTGGAGAAGTTAAGAGGTGGGGACACAGGCCACTGTAAGTGTAGCAAAACTTGGCATGGAGCTAGGTGTCCTGGGATGGCAGCTGGTTTCAGAACCAGTCAAACAGGGTCGTAAATTTCCGTAAAGCCACTGTCCAGCGTGAGAATTTGGATCAGAAACCTGTCTTTCCTGAGTTCCAGTCCCCTCATTTACCCTGACTCAGGAGGGTTGTCATGGGGACCTCTGCCAGGCCCAGCCAAGTGCCTAGCGCGGTGCCTGGCTCATCCTAGTGCGCTTGTCTCCTGCCGCCTCCTGCCCTTTCTTCCCTAAGCTCTCCCACTCGCCATTTCTCACCATCTTCCATGCCTGGGCATGAAGTGCCAGGTTTCATGCTGAACCCCCCACTGCAGGAAAATTCACGTCTCTGATTGGCTGTGCATGATGTCATTACTCTAGATGTATTCGTCTCCGCCTACTTTTTCTCTCCTCACAGCGCCTCTCAATCTTGCCAAATTCATTCATATTTTCCTTTCTCCCTCCCTTCCTGTGAACTTTGCCAGGCCCCTGCTGTGTTCCAGGTACCTGCTGGGAAGAGATGTTCTCGGCCAGCACCTGGCCGTCAAGAGCTCACCTGTTGCTCGAGAGAGGCTGTGACCACACAGGGAAGGAGGGCTGAGTGGCGGAGGCCATGCTGTGTGTCTGTCCACAAAATCCCATGGCCTAACTCTTGTTTCTGCAACACTGTGGGAGGCAGGATAATGGCCCCTTGAAGATGGTCATGCCTGATCCCCCACATCTGTGACTGTTACCTTACATGGTGTGATGCAGTGAAGGGTTTTAAGATGGGGAAATTATCCTGATTTTCCAGGTGGACGCAAAGATCCATGTAAGAGAGAGGAAGGAGGTCAGAAAGGAGAGACGCTGCTATTCTGCTGGTATTGAAGACAGGGAAGAGGCCATGAGCCAGGGAATGTAGGTATCTGTGAGCCTTCCAAAGGAGCCAGCCCTTCCGACAGCTTGATTTTAGCCCCTGGGGTTCATTTGGGACTTCTGACTCCCAGAACTGTCAAAGTATACATGTGTGTTGTTTTAAGCCAATATGTTTGTGTTCATTTCTCACCACAGCGATAGGAAATGGAAATAAGTGCAGAGGACTGTGCTTCCTCGTCCCCCAGCTGGTAGGTGGCACCACCTGACTAACCCTGGCCAATGCAATGTGAATGCAGGTGACACATCCTCCTCTAGCCCAAGGCTTGACACCTCAGCATCCTTCTTCCCTGCCACAGCCAAAGAGAATATTGTAGCTGGTGGTGATACAAGATGATGTGCTGCTGGCAGCCTGGGTCCCTGCGTGACTGTGTGGAGCAAAGGCCCAGCTGACCGTCAAAACCTACTAGAATGTGGGGGCTATCAGGACAGCAGCATCCCCCAGCTTCTCCATGCCACGGGAGCTCTGATTAGCTCTTGCTTCACAGGGAAGGTGATGATCATGCCTTGAGAAGACAGACAGGTGAGGGCAGTCGGGTGAGCAAAGGCCTGGAGGGATTGGAGTGTTAGGCTGGCCCAGGGTGCAGGGGGCAGTGTTGGGCATGGACGTTGGCTGCAAAGGTTGGAGAAAACGGGGAGCAGTGCTCCTCAGGTTCAGACTCCTTTCCTAGCTCATACTGCTCAGTGTGCAGCTTGTGTGCATGCAGGGCTTGTATGCATACATGTGTGTGCTTAAGACCTGTGTGCACAAGTACACATGTACATGTGACCGCATGTGTGCTTCCATGGATTTTCCTCTGGGTTGAGCTCTAGCTCTAGGGGGCTGGGGACAAGCTAAGGTGTCAAGCTGCAGGTGGGGCTCTGGTGCGGAGGGGTCCGACAGAGTGACGGAACAACCGGATTTAAGGAGCACCGTGTGTGAGGGTACCAGGTTGAATGAGGAGAAGCAGAGGTCGTGGGGCCCAGGGGAGGCGGGGAACGAGGCTTGACTTGCAGGGCCAGCCTTTGGAGCCCCACAGTGACACAGTGGCCTGCGGCCCCTCCAGAAGGGACTGATGTTGTGAGAACACGGCCTTTTCCTGAGGGGCCCGTGGGAGCCGGAGCACACCCTCCCACGCCAGTCCCGGGGTCAGGTCTGCACAATGTGCTCATTGCCCACATGACTCACTGGTTTGTTACCTAAAATACATCTAATTCCTATTAATACGAGCACTGCAGGGCACATATTTCATCATCCGCGTTATATGACTTTACTGCTGTTTACGAGGGAGCCTGGGCCGTCTGACACAGCAGCCGCAGCCAGGCCGTCACCGCGAGCTGCTCACACTCCGTGGACCAGTGCGGGGTCGCGGAGTCAGAGGCCAATGAGTTTCCTGGTAGGACTGCAGCCGTGCATGAGGGCGCTGGAGGCTGGGGTGCTGGAGGCTGCTGCGCCCTCGCTGCTGTGGTGCCGGGGCCGCTACAGGAGCCGGTTGTTTACGCTGAGACTGTGACAGGCCGGGCACACAGCTCAGGGCTCTCAGGCTCTTGTCAGTGAGACCCAGCGCCCATGGGTGGAGGCCACAGTCGTCACGGTACGTATGTGGGGACGGAGGCTCGGAGCCCAGAGGACCCGCCTCAGGCTCGTGGTGACGGCGCCGGCCTGCCCAGCGCCGGGCTCTCCGCTCACTGTGCCTGCACAGCCCTGCAGAGCTGCCCCCGGGCTCCCCGGGCAGGAGGCTGCCCGTCCTCCCCTCTCAAGTGAGATGATGTGTTGACAGTGCTGGGAGGGTGCAGGAAGATTACTCATTGGTGTCATTATT